AAAAAAAAAAAAAAAAATCATAAAATTTTAGTTCCCTTAAAATAGAATCCCACTAGAACTACATCAAATAAGAATTAGCTGGGCATGGTGGCTCACACCTGTAATTCTAGCACTTGGGAAGCTCAGGCAGAATTGCTGTGAATTTGAGGCCAGCCTGGTCTATACAGTGAGTTCAAGGCCAGCTTGGGTTCACTTGGACAATGAGAACCTGGGTCAAACTAGAAAAAAAAAAAAAAGGAAGAATTGTGATAGGATGGAGGTACACATATCAGGCTTTTGGAATAGCTGGCCAAGTTCTGTTTCTAGTTCTGAGTGCTAACAGGAATCTAACTTTGTAATAATTTATATCTGTAAATTTTGATCTGTAGTTTTCTATATCTATGCTATATTTTGTAATGAAAGGACTTAAAACTTTTGCAACTAGAAATTTTTGAAGTTTTTTGAGACAGGGTCTCACTTTTTAGTACAGGCTGCCCTTGAACTCACTACAGCCCAGATTGGCCTACAGCCTGCTGCATTACTCCTGCCTCAGCCTTCTGAATTCTGGGATTACAGGAATGTACCACCATGCCTGGCATTAATGGTTTTAAATTTTTTTTACCTAGGTTAGAGTAACTGAACTCTCCTACTGAAAGCATATTTTGTTTTGTTTTTTTAAGACTGGCCTTGAACTCACTATGAAGCCCAGACTGGTCTCAAACTCCCAGTGATTGTCCTGCCTCAGCCTCACAAGTGCTGGGATTACAGGTGTGTGCCACCACACCCAGTTACTGAGAGCAGATTTGGATAGGGGAAGAAGAGTATGCAGGAAGGAGAATCATTAAAAGGGAGGATATTCACTGGGAAAAAGAAGGGTAGGAGGAGCATATCACAATGTAAACGGTGATTTCAAATTTGACTTAGTAGGAGTCTTGCCTCCTGTGCTTGCCTGTCTAGTTCTCCCATTTTTACCTGCCTCACAGCACAGCACTATCTCGTCTTTTCTGAGCTTCATCCTCACATCACTCCTTTCACCCCATTCTTCTTTTAACTCCAAGATTATATGTATTTGCCTATCCTTGAGTCCTTATAAGCTCAGGGCTGCCAAACCTTTCCTCTGGGGGTGATCTGTCAAAGGTGTTAGCACTCATCCTGGACTTTCTGGGAGTGCAGATCTCAAACATGATAGTCTGTTTCATCATCATTCTCATTAATACACCACTAGTCTTCAGCCTAAGTGTTAGGATCTTGGGGGTGAGGACATGGAGACTAACAAGGTTAATAAGGCTTCAAAGAGTGCTTAGAATACATAACCTTCTAAAGGACTCTCATTAGATCCAGAGGAAGCAGACAGGGCCCTAGGCACAGGAACTGGTCATCTGGTTTGGTAATTCCTATTTCTGCAAAGATCCTGGCCCTTCCCCCTCAGCTGCCTATTATTAACAGATCCAGAAATCTAATCAGGGCAGCAGCAGCAAAGGGACTTTCTGGGAACTGAGCCCAGGAAAGGTCTAGAAGTCTAAATTAAAATGAGCAGCCGCTGGCAGGAGACCTAACCACAGTACTCTTAGCCTGGCACCCAGGCCTGCCTAGGCCCTCCTCATTCAGGGCCAATGCTACATCTTAGACACCTCTACGTTTTTTAGGACATTCAGGCCAACAAATCCAAGCTCAAAGCTCAGTTCCCCAGCTTTTCCAGCCAAACTACTCAAAATTCTGAAATAATCTGTTGGTGGTCAAAAAGACAACTAAAAATATTACATTCTCTTTAAGAATCATAAATAATGAGGCCACCTGTAGAACTAAAAATTAGGATATATGTCAGAAGACCAGAGAATATATAACCACTCTGCCATTATGGCATCATTAAAAGTTATATTTCTATCACTTTACTCAAGTGGTGGTGAGGTGGTGTTTAAAAAAAAAAACTTAAGAAAACGATGTTTTAAAAACACACTACAAATGGTATGATATTCCATACCAAGACAAAACTTTCATAAAGGATCATAACAACAAAATAAGTTATTTTTAAGAGTTGTGTCTACAAAGAGGTTGAAAATTAAGGGAAGATATCTGAGAATGGTAAGCCTACAATGTTTTAAAATTTTAAGACTGCTTTGGCCTTTTTTGCAGAATTTTAGAATTAGCTTGTCAATTTGCACAAAAATTAAATCAGGTGGGATTTTACTTAGAATTGAATTTAACCAGTAGGTCAATTTGAAAAGAAACTGGCAACTTTTATAGCCCTTTCCTATCCATGGAAATGATACATACCTTCATTTATGTCTCTCTCCAGCATGATTTTTTTCTCAATGTAGAAGCTCTTATACCTTTTGCTGCACTTATTACTAGCTACTTGACTTAGGCTATTATAACACTAAATTTTTGAAGCTTTATTTTCTATTTGTTTTATATGTAGAGGCATGTAATTGATTTTTAGTATTGTGACCATGCTAAATTCATTTAATTCTAAGTGTTTGCAGACACTTTTGGAATATCTTTGTACACACAATCACACTATCAGCACATACTGAGGTCTTTTTTTTTCCTTTTATAATTATTTTCTTGGCCTATCACACTGACTGGGAAATGATAAATGGAGATTTGACAGTGGACATCTTTGTTTCACTCATCTCATAAAGATTTCAGAGTATTTTATTGGTAGGTTTACTACTGTAGGGTTTTGTTTTTGTTTTTGTTTTTTTTGGTACTGGGGATTGAACTTGGGTTCTTGCGCTTTGCAAGGCAGGTCACCGAACCACTGAGCTAAATCCCCGGCCCTACTGTAGGGTTTTTGTTGATACTCTTTATTCAAGTCTTTCATTTCTATTCCTGGTTTTTAAAGTTGCCCACTTCCCTTCTTTTGGCAGTGTTGCTGCGAATTGAGCCCAGGGCCTTGTGTATGTTAAACTGACATGCTATTAGTGAGATGTATCTTTAAGGGGAAAAAAAAGGATTTTGCATTTTTCTACATTTATCTAAATGATTTTTTTGGTGGTGGTGGGGATCAATCTCCGGACCCTGCACTTGTGAGATACGTGGCTTGCACCACTGCTAAATTCCCAGCCTCTGATGTTTTGTTTTGTTTTGTTTTGTTTTGTTTTTGAGACAGGGTCTTGCTATGTAGTGTAGGCTGGTCTTGAACTTACTGTATAGCCCAGGCTGGCCTAGACCTCATAGTGATCCTCCTGCCTCAGCCTCCCCAGTGCCACAATTACAGACATGCAGCTCCATGCCTGCTCTTTTAAATTGATTACTTGAACTGCACTGATTAGTTTTCTAGTAGTCAACCTTGTATTTTTGCAATAAACTCAAATTACGTATTTTGACATGTATTGCTAGCTTTGCCTTTTTGTACGTATTGGGGCTTGAACCTAGACCCTTGAGTATGTGCTCTACCACTAAGCTCCGATTCATCTCCTTGCCCGACAGAGGGTCTCACTACATTGCCCAGAACAAGCAATCTTCCTGAATCAGCCTCCCACAAAGCTAATGTCTAGGAATTTTGTTTATATGCATAGCAGAGGATGGTCATTGGTTTTTCTTGTAATGTTCTTGCCAGATTTTGATACTGGGTAATGCTGCTTTGAAAGTAAACTGGGATCCAGTCCCTTTTCTTAGCCTGGGAATTTATGAGGTCAGTCACTAAGGTAGGAGCAAGCTGACTTTACCTGATCAGTCTAAGAGTTTATCAATTCTATTTTCCGGGGACTCTTTACTTGGAAATTGTTTTATGTATGTTTTGTTTCACTGACTTTCTAAAATATTCTTTTTGAGATGGGGGGGTCTTGCTATATAATTCAGGCTGGTCTTAGAACCCAGTGGCAATCCTTCTGCCTCAGCCTCCTGAGTACTGGGATTGTAGGTTTGTACCACTACACCCAGCTCTTCCTTCTACCTTTTGAATTTACTATTTATTTTCCAGTTTCTTGACATGAAAAATTAATTTCTGAATCTCAGGCTTTCTTTTATAATGTATGAATTTATAATTTCTTTTAAAAGCACTACTTTAGCTGTACACCTCAGGTTCTTATCACATTATCTTCAATATCATTTAGCTCAAAAGACTGTCTAGTTTCCCATATGATTTCTTCTTTGATCCATTGGTTTAGAACTATAATGCCTAAATTTTAGGAAATCAGGACTTTTTTTCCGGTAGTGGGGACTGAACTCAGGATTTGAGCTTGCGAGGCGGGCACACTGCCAACTGAGCTAAATCCCTCGCCTTGCCTAAGTTTTAAATAAGGAA